TCTACTGACTGGTGACTGTTCCCAATTACCACTGAGAAATTGGGCTGCAGCTATACAACAGGGCCAAGAAGGATTATGTCTGCATCCCAGGGGATTCTCTGGGGTATCTCTTAGTACTTCCATGCCCAATAGCAATGGTGAATGGAAAACTACAGCAACCAAAATAAGTAGGACACTTGAAGACTCAGACCATTTAGGAATTATGGTTTGTCATTTGACCAGATAAGGAATCTTGACCAGCTTAAATTCTGCCAGAAGGCAGGGGAAAAATGAAATGGGTGCTGGAAAAAGGAAGCTATACATATCAACTGTGGCCTCAATTACAAAAATGAGGACTATAGTAGCTTTACACATTTTCTTTCTCTGTTATATATGTGTGTGTGTGTGTGTGTGTGTGTGTGTGTGTGTGTGTTGAAGATTTTATTGGGGAATTGGGGGAGAGAAACAGTGATGGGGAATTGGGGAGGGGGACCAGCCAAGTTGTTGTTCTTCAATCTTCATTGTGGAGGGTGGCAGTAGCTATCTGGCTTCCCGTCAGCAGCTCGTTGGCCTCTTAAGTTCAAGGTGCTGAGTTCAGTCTTAGTTGTGGGTGGGTGTAGTCCACTATTGAACAGGCAATCTTGTTGTTACACCAGCTCAGTGACAGCTCATCTCGGGCGGAGCGTCACTGACCCATGTGGGAATCAAACCCGTGGCCCTGTTGCTCAGAGCTTGCGCTCTTAAGCCAACTCTTAACCAACTGAGCCACTTGGCTGGCCCTATATGTGTTTGTTTGTATATGCCATGTCCTTCTTTGCTCTCCTTCCCATTTTTTATTTTATATGAGTTGGAGGTTAACTTTACAATTTTATCTTTAGTTAACAGAATATTTAGTGGAGCTGAGACAATTTGAGGATCATTAATATAGCTAGGACTGCTTAGACTGTGCAGCTCCTCATTCTGGGGAGGAGAGAAACTTCTTTACCTGTCTGAAGCATAGTTATATCTTGCTAGGTGGAAACACAGAGCTGTTTTGTTGTACAGAAGTACAAATGTGTGTAGGAAGATGCATATGGAAGCTGAGTGGCCAAAGTGGGTGGACCATGGTAGTTGCTGATTTCCTATCTCTCAGCTCCAAACCCACTCTTCACTCCTTACTTTGCAATAATGGAGCTTGACTTTAAATGTTTTCCTTTTCCAGTTGGCAGTAGATGACATTAAGGAGATACTACAGGAGGAAGAGGTGTACCATCCTGGTTGCATCATGCATGCATGCCTTTCTCAGTCTGCAGCTGTCTTGGTCTTCCTGAACCCTAGCAGGGGTGGTTTTCTTGTGTGTGTGAGACTTCCAACCTGCAATTCCCTGTCAGCCAGCACTGTGGCAGTGGATTTCCTACCTGCTAGCCTCATCCCAGTGACTGTGTGGGCCAATTCTGGTTTGGGGCAACCCGGCACACTTCATTTTCATTGCCATTCAGTAGATTGCAACCATTCCTGCTCTAATGAGATTGAACCTGGGGACAAGAAAAACTGCCAACCAACTGTTAGCCTTATGAAAAACATTAAATTGTTGTTGCTTCAAGCCAATACATTTGGGGTATCTTGTTATGCAGCAAAAGCTAACTGACACACCATTAAATTAAAAAGTCTTTCCCCCGTGATTTGCAGTGCCATTTTATTATGTACTAAATTTCCACATAATCAAGTCTGTTTCAGTACTTTCCATTCAGTTCAATTGGTCTGATTATTCACATGCCAATACCATATATTTAATTATGGAGATGTTACAGTATGCTTTAAAATCTGGTTATACCACTAACCTTAACAAAAAACAATAAATGAAGATTTTCCTGAATATTCTTGCCTTTTAAAAGTATGAACTTTTTGTTTTGTTTGTTTTTTGGGGCCGTCCAAGTGGCGCATTGGTTAAGCCCACATGACGGCCCGTGACACTGCGCTCTCTACAGCTAAGATGGTGAACAACAGCTTGACCTGGAGCTGGGCTGCTGTGAGTCGCCGGCGATGGTGTAGGCTGCAGCCCTGGCTTCAGTGGGCTGCCGTGAGCTACTGTGTGTGGCTGGCAGCCAGCGTGAGCAGCCAGCAGCCGGCAGCCGCGTAAGCTGCCATGAGCTGCTGTGAGAGGCTGTCCAATGGCTGGTGAGTAACTGCCTCACCTGGGAAGAATGCAATGATAATACCAATATGGGCCAGTGAAGCGATGTCCTCCACAACTAGACTGAAGAACAAAAGGACAGTAACTTGTCTGTTCCTCTCCTGATTCCCCAACGCTGTTCCCCTCCTCCAATTCCCCAATAAAATCTTTAAAATAAAAAGTGAACTTTTTAAAAATAAGTTTTCTAGCTCCTAAATTTTTTTTTTAAGCTGAGCCATCCTGCCACCTGTTGGCAGCTAAGTGGCAGCTCAGCTTGGGCCGGGAATCAAACCACTGTTGCTCAGAGCTCAAACTCTTGAGCAAGCTCTTAACCACCTGAGCCACTTGGCTGGCCCTCAATTTTTTAAAAGTATTGACACATTTATGATAAAGTGTATTATTAAAAAACATGGAATTTCTATCTGTTCAACTCTAGTTTTTTGTTTTTTTGGTGTTTTAATATTTTTCTCCTGTTTGATTATTTTTTAAAGTAACTCCCTGACATTCAATGTGTATATATATATATATATATATATATATATATATATATATATATATGTATGTATAATATGGTCTTCTTTTCCATTTTTTGTTCTGATTTTTTAAAAGATACACAAAGTGGGGCCAGCCGAGTGGCACATTGGTTAAGAGCTGGCTTGGGATGCCAGAGGGCCCTGATTCGGATCCCACATGTGAGGGCCAGTGACACTGCCCTCTACAGCTGAGATACTGAACAACAGCTCAACCTGGAGCTGGGCTGCCATGAGTCGCCGGTGGCAATGAGGAGGCTGCAGCCCCTGCTGCAGTGGGTTGCCATAGGCTACCGTGTGTAACCAGCAGCCAGCATGAGCGGCCAGCAGCTGCCATGAGTGGCCATCCAGAAGCTGGCAACTGATCTGCCTCGCCCGGGAAGAGCGCAATGATGGTGCCAACTTGGGCCAGTGAAGGAACGTCCTCCACAACTAGACTGAAGAACAAAAAGGACAGCAATTTGTCTGTTCCCCTTCCCCCCGATTCCCCAATAAAAATCTTAAAAAAAAGATACACAAAGCTATTGATCCTAAATATTAATTTTATATACAATCATCTTAAGTTTCCTAATTGTTTTTATTTTTTCATTGATTTCTTCAGGTTTTCCAACTATGTCATTATATCATCTGCAAATAGAAATAATTTTCCTTTTCCTTTCCAATTCTTATGTCTCTAACTGTATCTGATTGTGTTGGCTAAAATTTCACTACAAGTTAAACCGAAGTGAAGATGGTGGTCATTCATATCTTTTTAATGTTTCTCCATTAAATAAAATTCTGGCTTTTGGATGGAGGTACATACACATTATCATGCTAACAAAGTATCCATTTAAGTGCCTTATGTATCAGGAATGGGTCTGGATTTTGTTGAAGACTTTTGGCAACCAGAGATGATCATATGATTTTTTTCTTCTCATTTCAATTAAAATGATGGATTACCTAATACTGAACCATTCGTGCATTCCTGAAATAAACCCCTACTTGGTCATGAAGTATAATAGTTTACATTTAATGTACCATTAGATGTTTGCTATTATTTTATTAACAATTTTGCATTAGTGGCCTGTAGTTTTGTATTTATGCACTTTATCAGGTTTAGGGAACAATGATACAGTCACTTCATAAAAAGAATTTGGAAGTTTTCCTTCCTTTGCTATGATCTGAAACAGCATTGAGATTATCTGGTATTTGAAGGTTTGGAAGAATTCCCCTATGAAACCATACGGGCCTGGTAGGCTGATTAATTTTTCTATTTGTCTTGTGGGAATTTATCTGTTTAAAATTTCTCTCTCCTGGAGTCTGTTTTGGCTAATTATTGATTACATCTAAGCTTTTCAAATTTATTTGCATAAAGTCGTTCAAAGTGCGTCACTTAAAAAAATTTCCTTAGATGCATTTTGACAAAACCAGCCTGGTGTTGGTCACTGGACACAGAGAAGTAGATCAGATGCACCCTTTGCCCCCAAGGAACTCACAATCTGGTGGGGGAGACGAGCACAACACCCAGAGAATCATCACACTGAAGCACTGGCTTAGCAGCTCACCTACACCAAGTGGCTGGTGACCTGCAGTCTTAAGTGTTGTAGACGCAAACGCTGAAGCAGAGCTAAGTATTTCAGCAAGTTTTAGTAACCAGCTTCACTCTCTTAAAGAACTCTGAGTGGCCTGGAAAAGGGATGGCCACCCAGGTGCAGAAAATTGAGAACATCTTTTGATAAAAATTCACTTCTTTATGAACGGTGAGCCACAGCTAATTTAGGTCAATAAAACTAACCTTTTTTATTTCCCACAAATTAGATCTACCAGTTTTAATTCATTTTATGATACATACTGAAACTTTAAGGCAGTATTCTCTGGAACTCAATTTGGTTCCAGGAAAGGAGAAACAGTCCAGTCAATCATGTTTTCACAGAACTCTTCCAGTAGAATCAGAATTCACCTTTCTGACGTTTGCACATCACGTTAACCAATGTGGAAAAATGAACGTAATCTTTCTTCGAGCATTTGGGGACTGAGCCATTGGGATTTTCTCCCCATGTCATTCCCAGTCCACCTAAAACTTCACAGGAACCATCTCGTCTAGCATAACGAAAGCACTGAAGTTTGTTGAAAGTTGCTAGAAATTATAAACACCTTTGACGTTTTATATCACAGCCAAAGTTGTGATATATACATTTATCTTAAGTCTTTTATCAGCATTCTCAAATTAAAGTCAGGCCAGTGTCTTCCAGGAAACCGAGTGCCTACAGTCATGACAAGGAGTGGGCAAACTTGTCAGCTGGAGATCTGTTCATGGCCAATAGGGAAAGTTCTGGACTTTTCAGAAAAAGTAAGAATCCGAGAATTTTAAAGGGTTTATTTGATTTCTCCACATGATCACAGCTAAGGTTTTACATTAAGAGTCTGTAATTACTCACACACAGAATGCATATTAAAACAAAGTATCCCTTTCCTCCCCAAAGTTACACAGTGAGTGTCGGGCTTCTCGTGAGCGAGGAATCCTTTGAAGTCTTTGAACAGTCTGCATTCAAGACCTGATTCTAATCGTTTAAAACAACTTGAAGGTGAATGACAGTTTCCAAGAGGAGATGGATACTGCACGAGACCTCTGACAGAACAGTGACACTAATGTGCACATGAGGTACAAGTTACCCCAAGCCAGCTCCTCCTGCTTGTCCCTCTTCACCACCCCCTCCTCACACTGATTCATTGTGCAATCTGTTTCCTTGATTATTGTTGTTATTTAAAATGCATACAAAATTACTCATTTTTTCAGGCAGGAAAGGTGATGGTATTTTACAACGAAACTGTAAGATGCATGCTACCTGTAGAGACGCAGCTTCATATGGAATGCTGAGTCAATACCCAGGGTCATGTTTAAATAGCTGCTGTCTTTTCAGCTCATTTTAAAGAAAAACAAGAGGCTTCTGCTGCATGCAGTGCATGATAGGAAATTGCTCTACACTGGGTGACTGAAAACATTTTTAAGCAAGATGTGCACATCATATTAGGATGAACTTTATTTTTACATTGTTGTACAATTCATTCATAAACTTAAAAAGATACAAACACATGATTTAATTGTTGTCCCAGAAAAGATTTCTGTGATACTACCAGCTGTTGTTTCCTCTAAGGGTCTCCTGCTCCTGTCAGAAATTGTGTAATTGAAATAATTTGTGCGACTGGAGAAAAATGTCCTGTGTACTGACAGTAAGAAAGGCTGACACAAACATCCCGGTGGCACTCAGCCTCCTGCTTCCTGGGGGGTAGGGGGGTGGTACTCTGTGAACAATAGGACCCCACAGCTGTGACTCTAACAGGCTGGGGTCTATAGAAAACAGTTCCATGAAAGCAACATGTGGTACAGCAGTTTATCAGAAGCTTTTGCTTCCCAAACAAGATTTGGGCAGTGTAGCTCCACTCTTCTCAATGGAACAATGTACTTCTGGAAACATTTCCCATTGTAAGTTTGCAAATAAAACACACAGAATGATGAAGCCTCACTGACCTGAACCCAATACACTGTATAAAGTTGAAAATGTGGGGAGAAACTGAGTTTGTTCAAGAACCTCTCTTTCACTAGACCTGGCCCTGTGGCACCCTGACAGAATTTCAGGGCACACCAATGACAGTTTTGGGGGTGAGAGTTCTGATTGGCCCTCGGGGCATGGAGGACACGATGGAGAGAGTGCCCCTCTCACTGGCCCCCATCAACAAATTTGTTGGTTCTTTCTTTTTTTTTCACTAGTGACTGCCCCGTCAGAAAGGGTGACCTTGTACCAAGCAGCCTGTATCTTTTCTGGAACAACCTAGAGTTTCTAGTTGGACTCTACCATTGATTGGTACGGAAGGGTGAAGAAAAACCGACATATTAAATATGTTATCATTTTACTTCAACTATTCGTCAACAGTAACACTGATATATCTTGGAAATATACAATACACAGATGTGGCCTCACACGACCAACACAGATGACACGCATTACAATTTGATTTTTCCTTTTCAGAACATCCTTTAAACTGCACAACAGAATGCCTCAGGGAACCTGGCTCTAAAGGAAAACCAAGGAATTCAGGAGTCAACAGAATCGGAACCGGGGCGCCTTCTACTAGCTGGGCCTGGGCCATCAGGCATGCCTGTGCTTTTTCTGTCTCTCTTTCTGAGCAGATGCCCAAGAGAGAAATGCTACACAGATAGGAAGATAAGGGCAGGCAGCTTAAAGTCCCACTTCTTTTTTAAAAAGGCTAAACTCTAGATTGCTGTATTTGCTCTCTGTGGAGATCAACAAAGTGCTCGGTTTGCAGATTTGCTGGTATGGTGACCTCAACAATATGACAAGGGGTGAGTGGAGAGTGAAATGGACAGACCCCCTGGCCAGGGTGGGCTCCCCTGTCGTCTCCGTCCTGCCACAGCTGGCCACGCCTTCCACGGAGCACGGAGCCCTGCGGCCCACAGTCCTGCGTTAGCTTCGCCCTTTCTGAAAGGGCTCTCCGCCTGGGCAGGTGCCGTAGGGCAGTCCTCGGGTCCCATGGCTTAGGAACACAGCACTGGTGGCTGCAGTGGCTCGAAAGGCTGAAACTACAAAGTACAGCCCATGGGTGACTCAGGCACAGAACTGGACGCGTGCAGCGCCCAGCCCCGGGGGAGCAGATGGTGTCACCACAACATGGAAGCGACAAGAGCACAGCTGAGAGTCATGTGATGCCCCGGCAGCTAACTGGACCAAGAGAGGCAGCAGGGGCTTCACTGGTGAGGGCTGGGCACTTGTCAGCTGGGGTCAGATGCGCTGCAGTGATGACACGGGGGTTGTGCTAGCACATGGCTATATGGAGTTACAATGATCACGGCTACCACTCAAGAGAACAAAACGGGAAGCACACACACCGCCCTGGGCTGCTAAACACTAGAATCGGCCTGCAGGGTTGAGAGGTTCCTGGTGGAACCACGCTCGGGGGCTTCTGCCTGCTGTAGCTGGAAACAGGATGAAGAAGTTATGGTGCTGGGGAGACGAGGATGAGGGTTGGTCGCTGTCATGTTGGAGATGATACGTCTGCGGTGTATGGGTGCCCCTCTCAGAGGACTCTAAATGAGTGTACATCAAATCATATGCATATAAAAGAAATATGGATCATGGAAATTCACAGTTTTCACAGCTATTAAAGTGTCTATGAATCTGTGTAACCAATATTCTAAGACAACCAGTTCTTAACTAGTCGTCCCGAGTTGCTACTGTATTTTACTGCATTTTATCTATTTGCTTACCTGAAATAACAGAGCAGTTATAATACTGATTACTTATGATAGTATTCTGTTAATAAAATAAGGATTTATACAAAGCAATACTGGACTTTTTAAACAGTTAGGTGCTATGTTACTTGGCACAGTTAGTAATGATTGCGTAAGGATTTTAGTCAGTCCTAGAGGGACTTCTCCTCTTTTTATGAAAATATGGAAGTATTTGAATTTGTTCCTACCATTTAAGTTTTTGGTCTACTCTCTCACACATTCATCTAAGGTATTGTCTTCTGGTTAGGAAGTGAAGCTCCTTGTGAAATCTATATTGCTAATTTTGTGGACTGAAACATTTGCCTTTCACACACAAATGCTACCTATACAGTGTGTATATATAATATATATATTTATTTATTTATATATTTATATTATATAAAGTTTACTTACGTATTTTCATCAACCATATCAGGTCTACTTAATTTTTTGCCCGTTGTGAATAAAAGAGCAATAATGCAGCAAGTTTTGGGTTTTTGTTTTGTTCTGTCTCTGGTTTTTTGTGTCTCATTTCTTCTTTTTCTAGGTTGGGTTTTCATATATGCATGTATAATTACAGAGCAGAGAGCTGAGGGCTGTAGTGGGGTGGGGGGCAGTTCAATATGACAGGGCCGGAGGCACTGTGTCGAGGCTCATGGTGCTGAGGCCCACCCTTGGGTTGAGGTGGGTGGAGCCTAGGGTGCCAATGCTAAATTAAATCAGGAGCTTTTTTCCCTAAACACAAGCCCAAGGGCTCAGGGGGTTCCATCTAGGCCGTGGGGAGCAGGGAGAGAGATGGAAACAGAAATGTCCTGGGTCTGGTCTGAGGCTGGCCACCCCTGGAGTGCCTCTGTGTGGTGTGCACTTGTTCCCGGGAGTCCGAGACCCCCGCCCAAGCTGTCTACACAATTGTGCTGATGCCGCTGGGCTTGGCCTTGCTGCTGGTGGGGGGTGGGGGGGCAAGGGGCTGCCCATGGTGGTGTGCTGTGTGGCCCGTGTGGCTGGCATGGGCTGAAGGCAGCGATGGGTGGCTGTGCGAGTGGGCTCCATAGGGTAGGTGCCCCCCATGGGGGACATGGTGGTACTGGTGTGAGTGCTGGACGTGCTGGGGGGGGTGGTAGTGGTGGTGGTGGTGGTAGGGGGGCGGGTTCTGCTGCACGTGGCAGTACTGGGTGTGATGGCCGTGCGGAGGGCCCTCTGCAGGCCCCTGGTGATGGCCGGCCACCAAATGCTGCGGGTGGGGCAGGCCTGGCGGGTGTGGGGGTGGTTGGGGAAGGGCTGGTGGCGGGTGAGCCTGAGGAGGGGGCTTCCCTCTCTTACTCCCAAATAAGGAGCCCAGGAGGGAGGAGGAGCTAGGCATGGTCTGGTGTGGGCGAGATGGACAGTCTCGTGTTGATGTTGCTCTCCGGCGCATGTGAGGACTGCTAATGATGGACCCCTAAAAAGGAAATTCATAGAAACCAAAATTAAAAGACCTTAAAGCGCTTATGTAAGAATGATTCTTAAAAAAATGTAAAAAGTTCACCCACTGACTTCTAAGCCTTAGTTGAACTCACTGGCCACCGAGGGCGGGGCTGGGTGAGGCTGAGCTCAGAGCTACCTTCTCTCATGCTACTATGGCAGGTTAGCTGGGGGGCCACAGGGACCTTGACAAGTGCCCTTCCTGTGACAAAATGGGAGTCGGGACCGGGGAGGAAGGGCCCTCCTTTCCAGTCAATTGTGGCAACAGCACAAGTTTGGGCCCTCAACCTGACAAAGACCCTGTCATGGCAGGTGGCCTGACCTTTCAGATCAGAACTATTTGTTTGGGGGTGTCTGCATGCATCATGTGCTGACGGAAGTGGGGCAGGGTAGTGTACATGAGGAGAAGCCCTGTTCCTGCTGAAATCGCACCCTCAGCTCTCCTGGGCCCTCTCACTGGGTCCAAGGGCATGTGCTCTGACTGTGTGGGTCCCAAGGTTTCTCGAAGGTGGTGAAGGGACAGAAGGGGCTCAGGAAACCTTGTCCTGGGTCTGGGGGACTGCTTAGGCATTTCACTGCAGCTACCTACTGCAAACCAAACAAGGAAAAAGAAAGAAACAAAACGTCTGCAAGCTGAGTAAGATGTGAACAGTAATATAGATGGTCGGAGGATGAATGAAATCTCATGAAATCCAGTTTTTCTTTCTCTCACGGCTCTCTTCCTCCCCCGAGCAAGCTCAGCAGTTCCATGGTGCCCTGACTGCAGACACACAGCAATCGAAACTCCAGGAAGGAAGCAATGGGGATGGCGGAGCATGGAAATCAGAGATTGGCAAGCCCCCCAGAGCAAGGGTGAAGGGTGTGTGGGTGCTCAGCGGCCTGCTTCCTGCTCAGGATCTGGTGAGCAGGACCCCGGCGGGAAGTGCCTGGAAGCAGGGGATGTTAATCATGCTCAGGGACCACAAGGGACGGGTTATGTGGGAACTAAAACACAAATCCAGAACCACCCCCCACCATTCCAGTCCAAACAAGCGGTGAGAGTTACAGGAGATTCTAGGCGGAGCGGAAGCTGGCATGCACTGGTCTGCGGCAGGCGGTGGGTGGGGGCGGGGCCTGCCTGCACCTCTGTGCAGTAAGGGGAAGGAAGAGCAAAAAAAAAAAAAAAAAAAAAAAGACAACAGATGTAAACCAAGGATCGGGGAGGCAACACACGACAGCCAGCTGGACGTAGGTGCTTCCTACTTACTTCCACATTGCTCTCTAGCGATCCCGCACTGCTGCGACGCCCTCGCTTCCCTGCCCAGAACATGCAATACCAGAGGTTAGATGCGGACATGGCTGGGCAGTGTCGCCACCACCACCAGGCTCAGGGATGGGGCCCAACTGCTGAGGGTGAGGGTAGGAGCAGGAGGAAGCTGGTGGCAAGGCAGTGACGAGTTTAAAAAAATGGGGTTCTTAAAAACAGAAAAATAATCTTTTTCAACCAGCCTCAACTTTATACCCCTTCTCCTGGACCAGTGGTCTGATGGGAGGGGACTCCCGGTGGCTGAAGCAGGTACACAAGTGGGGCCTGAAGCCCCACGCTCAAGTTGGCCTCAGTTGTTGACAGGGAACAGGTTGAAGACAGTTTCTCCAACAGTTAAAACCAAACAAAATGTGGTCCTGCATGGGCCTGACTATCAGTGGGTTCAGATATGTATGGTACATATCTGCATGCATGCATACATACATACATACATACATACATACATATCTGCTCCTCCAGGCAGGGAGAGGCTAATTGTTAGGAGGAAACTAAGCTTCCAATCCTTTTTATTCTCGGTAGATTAAAGGTGCTGGTGCCTCTGGGGCTGAGTGTTTGGTTTGTGCAGGGCCCTGGCCAGGGGCGAGAGACAGGGTTGAGCACTGCTGGAAAGGACCCAGAGTCCTGCTTCCCTTCTGTGGGCACCTCCCACCCCCACCCCCAATGCCACAAGCATTCCCTCAGCTCTCACTGCTGATGCCTTTTTATGTCCCCAGAGCATGGCACATGGTAGGCACTCAGTATGTGCTAGCTGTTAGAGGAAGCCCATCTTCCTCTTGGGTCTGGATGCCCAGTGCCCACCCGGGCCTCCACAGTGCCTCCAGAGGACTTCCCCATGGATTCCTGTAGGACATGCAGGCCGGCGGGGACGATGGTGCTCAAGCTTAGGGGTCCAGCCTCCGTCAGGTGTCTGGGAATGCAGACAGGAAGGGGGTACAGAGAAGAGGCCTCCCACTTGACATTCCCAAGGTTTTCACCAATGCAGCCATGGCCGTGAACTGAGTACCATGCTGGGCTTTCAGTCAAGTCCACAACAATGCAGGGCAGGTATCCCTCTGTCCATGCCAAGGAGGAGGAGACAGAGGCTCTGGCCCGTAGCCTGACCAGCTCAATTCCCTCAGGGTTCACCCCCAGGTCTGCTGTGCATCTTTGAATCTGGAAATCTTAGCCATGCTGCCTTCTGAGCTGGACTGGGCCAGCTCCAGGAGCCTGTAAGATGGGCGGGATTACCCTGTGCCTCTCCTCTGTGGCTCACATTGGGTGGACAGGGTGTGTCTGTGGGTCCTATGGCCTCACGGTGGCACCTGAGCTTGCTGGGCCACACCCATGTCAGGGCCTCGGTCCTAGGCAGATGATGGCAGGCAGGGGAGGTCCAGTCCCGTTGCCCTTCCTTCTGATCCCTACACCTGCCCCAGCTGGAAGTCTGAGGTCCACAGGAGGCCTTGTGGACTCTGGCATGTGTGGGAGGGCCTCAGAACCCTCTCAGGACAGGGCCACAGAATGCATGAGGACAAGAGCATTTTCCACCAGGCACTGGGGACCAGATAACACTAGGTGAAACCTGGCCCTTATTTGCGCCAGAAGAAAGATGAGGGTCACATTTCCCCATCTTTCGGCTGGTGTGAGAAGAGGGCTGACCTTCCCTTTCTGCCTTCTGTCACAACACAGTGGCCCAGGGACTTGGAGCAGAATTAAAGTCTGGCCTCCCAGAAAGAGGCTCTTTGGCTGGGGAGTTGACCCCATGTGGCACGCCACCCATGCCTCCCCTCCTGGGTTGGCCACAGGCAGCAAACACTCAGGATATTGTGGCACTGTGTGGAGACGATGAGGTCAGATCCCTGTTGTCTTTGGGAATTTAAATCCGTTTTCTGGCCCCTCAAAGGCCTGGGGACTCCTCTGGCAGACTAAAAACCAGGAACAAAGCAAAGAGAGTATGCCCACTTGTGTCCAGCAGCACTTCCAACTGGTGTGTTTCTCCCAGTGAGAATGGGGACAGGAGTGGAGTTAGGCTGGGGGCTTCGTATGGTGCTGACCTGGAGCTGAATGAGCCTTCTTCTTCCTCCTCCTCCTGCCCAGCGTGGCCAAGACTTAGGAGAGCTTTAACTTGGATGTCTCCAAGTGATGCTGTTTCTTAGAATTCATCTCTTCCACTTCTCAGATCAGCATGAGATGTGGGGTATCCCTCCAGGAGCTCTCTGTACTGCAGTCTCAGAGGCCCCACTCGCAGGCACAGTCACAGACACCTGCCCACTATAGACCCATGTCCAGGCGTGTGCATGCATGCATATCTATCTGTACACACTGTCTATTAACGGAAGCACAGCATGCCGGAACCATGTGGCTGTGGCCACGCACTCACACGGCCCCTCCCCTGCACTGTTTCCAGGTATCTTTCCCCTCTCTCTGGATGCTGCACTAGCCTCAGTGAGCCCCGCCCCAGCCAGCACCTGTCCTAGAGCCAGAAGCATGGTTCTTCAGAGCCTTCCCTGCCTCTTAGAGTCAGGACAGGATGCAGGCAGGGCTCCCTGCCAGAAGTTTTGCCCTGTGGCCCTTGGCAGTGCAGGAGGCCAACCAGGTGCGCCTGCTCAGTGACAACAGCCACATGCCAGGCTCCGCTCTAAAGTTTGGCATGTTATCGACTCTCTCACAGAGATCCTTGGAGGAAAGTCCCTGTTCCCACCTTGCAGCTGGGAAAACTGAGGCCCAGAGATATGACTTGGCCAGGACCTGATTGCTAATAGCAGCAGGCAGAGGGCAAGACCTTCTCAGGATGACTCTGGAATCAGTATGCTCTGTGTCCTCCACTGGGCTCTGCTTGGGTGGCCATCCCAATGGCACCCCCAAGTGTGGCTCATGTCCCAGGAGAAGCAGCCACAGGCCATTCTGTGCACAGAAAGCCCATCTTGGGGCAGCAAGTGCTGCTTTAGAAATTGGCCACTAGGATCCTCTAAATGTCCCCAGACGGGGCTGTCCTGATGCAAGACACGGCAGGTCACTAGCTCTGTTCCCAGAGCAGTGATGGTACAGGCAGATCCTGTGGCTCCTGGGGGACATCCCCATTGGGCTGGTGTTCAGCAGCTCAGCCAGGGATAAGCAGGGTTCTTGCCCTGTGTCCATGGTCCCTGCCAGTCCTTGATCTCAGGCCGGCAGGGCTCTGGTGCCACTGAAATGAGCACAGGGCCCTGGCTGCTGCAAAGACCATGTGGAGAGACATAGGATGAGGCCCAGGCCCCTTCCTCTACCTCTCAGAATGTCAGGGGCTCCTGGAGGCATCTGCTGCCAGGCTTCCTCCTAGACCATCAAACCACGACTGCCTCTTGGATCCCCAAGGTTCATGAAGGGCTGAGGCCACGTCCCTGGTGTGTTTTCTCCTAGATGGATATGCGAGTACAGTTCTAGAGCAGTGTTCTGGGAGTGGTGACCTGCCAAGCACCGAGCAGTGGCTTTCTGGAGGGGAGAGGCTGCCCGAGGCCTTGCCTCTTCTTGACAGGCTCATCTTGGTGAAGGCCATGGGGGTGGGAGTGATGCTGCTTCTGCAGAGCTTCGCCCAGACCTCATCCAGAGCATATAATTCTGCATCGCTGGATGCCAAGCCCAGCATCTGCTGGAAGGCCACTGACATTGGCCTGTCTCCTTTTGGAAGCCTCAGGTGGCCTGTCCCCAGTCTGGGGCCTTGTTGGCTGCCAGGACTCAAACAACTGCCTCACCTCACCCCCAACCTTCCTAGGGGTAGGGGGCTTTCTTTCCTGGGGATTCTTTTCAGTGTGGCTTTGGTCCGAGAAGACACAATTCCTAGGGTCCTTCTCAGCTCAGAATCCTCAAATACAATGGCAATAGTAACAATCAGTGGAAATCAGCCAAACTTCTGAGCTCCACCCTTCACATGGCCATGTATCTGGGTGTATGGCTCTATGACCCCTAAGTTCTGGCAGAGAATGGACAGCTGAGGTCCAGACCATAGGGACTGGAGTGAGCGTGTCTAGACATGCTGAGAGTCTCAGTTCCAAACTTTGTGACGTGGCTGGACAGGGCCCCGGCCCTCCAGGGAACAGAGACGCCAGAGCCTGTCCCACTGCACAAACTCAAACACAGGCCCCAGGCCCCCAGCCTGCAGAGGCCCACGGAAGTTATATTTAGCTGAGTTTAACACACAGGAAAAACCAGTGGTTCTCAACCAGCGGTACTTTTGCCCCCTCCCCCCAAGGACACCTGGTAATTTCTGGAGACATTACTGATTGTCATGACTTCGGGGGAGAGGCCAGAGATGCTTCTAAAAATCCTGTATAGGATAGTCCCCACAGCAAAGAATTAGTAAGCACAAAATGTCAGCAGTGCTGGGGCTAACCCTGGGTTAACCCCTCATGCTGGCAATGAATTTCTGGTTTTCACTATGTAGAGAAAAAAAAAAAAAAAAGAAAAGACAAAGCAAAAAAAAAAAAATCCAACTAAAAAAAAAAAAAAGAAGGAAAAAGAAAAAGAATTCTGGGAAATGAATAAGCCAAACAAAGAGAGGCAGAGCTGCTGGCAAGGCAGGTACAAGATGGGGTTGTGAGCAGGCTCTCTTAAGGGGGCCCAGAGCTGGCTACTTGGTAATGCATGAGGCAGGGTGGGGTGGGCGAGCTCCTAGGAGGTAGGGGGCTGCTAGGCCCCTGGAGAAGAGGAGGCCGATCTCAGCTTGATGGGGTCTCCCCTAACAAATCAGGGGCTCCTGGGGCCAGGACACCAGGGGCCTTTTGGCAGGCAGAGCCCAGGGTCCTGGGAACCTACAGTGTTGGGCACAGCCCCGTGCCCACTGTGCTATGCCCTGCAACCCGCACTCTACAGCAACTCGAGGCCCCCCCCCACCGGGAGAAGCTGACTGGCTAAACATGGCTAGTGGGACTGCGGGGCTGCCAGGGTGTGCCTCCTCCCTCAACACCTCCTCTGACAGAGCCAGCAGGCAAAGTGGGTAGAGCATCATTCATGGACAGCCAGCTGGGCCTGCCTGCACCTGCCTCCTCCAACTGCTGCAGCCCAGAGGACCAGTCTGGGTGAGGGCTGCCAGTAGAGGCTCCCTGCCCCGATGCCCCAGGTGCACCCTGCCCGCCCTGGGAAACCTGGAAGGCTCGAGGGGTGCTGCTTGCTTGGGGGTTAAGAGGCTGGCAGCAAATTAAACACACACAGAAACAAAGAACAACAATAATCACAGTTTCTGCCAGGGCTTTCCCCTGATGCTAGCTGTGGCTAGCCGTTTCTGGGCTGAATGGAGGTCCGGGTTTCCCAGGGAGACCTCTGGGGAGAAAGTAAGACTAGAGCCAGCGTGAGAGGGGGTTTCCAGATAGTTTAGAGGGCTTTCCTTTGTTTCATTCATCAGCATACAACACGGGTACAGCAGCAAGAGCACACGGGACACATCCGTCAGTGGGCCTGGCTCACTCTGTGAGAGCAGTGTTCAGAAAATAAATAGAACAAATAAAACCCCTAGAAGAAGAAGGTGAGAATGGGGGTGACCTCCCTGCTGTTCTGCCTTTGATAGTTGGGTCCTATTGTCTTTTGCCTTTTGGGGACGTCCTCTCTGTATGGTCCTAAGCTACTGTGAGCTGGGGAAGGTCATGGGAAACCCAATGGCGCTCCATCCGAGCCCTCCACTGCTATCCCTTCCCGGTGCACAATGCAAGCGCCCACTGCTGGCATGCCCGGGCTGAGTCCTGCATGCACCAGGCTGAGAAGGTTAACCGAGGCCCAGCTCTTACCTGCTTCTGAGAGGTCCCTCAGGGAGCTGCTGAGGGCACTGCGCTTGAGACCCTCGCTGCTGGCATAGCTGTCGTCCAGGCAGGCCCGGCTCAGCGTCCCGTTACCCGACTCCTTTTTGAGGCTGGAGGACTGGGATATGCTGGGTCGCACGACACCCTTCTGTTTCTCGAGCTCCGCTGAAATAGAGGGATAAGGGCTCGGTGAGAGGAGTGTGGCCTGGAGGGCAGTAAGGGAGGGGCAGGGCCAGGACCCATGCAGGAGGAAATGCAGGGAACCATAGCCCTCTGTTCAAGTTTGGCACTGTACCGAGTTCTCCATCTGCCTGGAATGGGGAGAAAAACAAGGGTTATCTTAAAAGAGAGAAGACAAAAGGGAGCCAAAACGAGACTACAGGAAGGAGTTGGAGAGGCCAGAGTGTCTTATGATCTGCAGGATAGAAAGTCACTTTCCAGGCTTGAGGGTCAGAATTGTGTGGGTCTGGAGATGAGCAAGGGTCGGCCATGCGTGGAGGGGCCAGAGGTAGAAACACCAGAGGTGCCAGGGAGTGAGGCTTGCAGCCAGAAGCAGGGGTTATAATCGGCTCTAACAGGACCCAAGTGATGGGCTGGGCTGTGATCTCCTCCATCTGCAGGGCCCTCATTCAGAAGACGGATAAATAATAACCACACTGGAGTGCGAAGAGCTCGGCTCCAGAACTCTGGAAGTTCTTGTCACATGGGGTGGCCAGGGACCAGGGGGCCATCCCCAGGGCATGCGATGTGATCCCACAGGCAGGATGGGCCTGGGCCTGCGGGGCTTCCAGCAGGCCTCTGTCATTCCCCGCTCCCTCTGTGCCATCTTCTGTGGCCTGCGCATGTGGGCTGCCAGTCACATGGTCATGGGAAGGTCAGAAAAGACTGGGAATCTCATTTCTGTGGGCTCAGAGAGTCACTGCCACCATACAGGAGCCAACACCTGTGTCCAGCGAGCCCTGAAAGATGCCAGGGTTGTGGGCTCTTCCTCCCCGGGCCTGCGACTTACACTCTATTCGGTGCTTTTCCATCTCCTGCACCTCTGCGATGGATTCTCGCAGGTCATCGGTGAATTTCTTCCGGTCTTGAGGATTGGGAGCATTAAAGTTTATTAACACTTTTATGTCTGCTCCAGGGACCGCAGATGTGAGCCGGATGCCATTGGGGTAGTCTGCAAAGGAGAAGAGGAGGACCCATGGGCCTCTGCATTCTCTGCCATCTCCCCTCTGGTCAAGAGAATACTAGTAAGTCTGAATTCAGGATTGGGTGAGAGAAGTGGTCAGAGGGCAGGCTATCAGCAGTGTCTGACAGGGAGGAAAGGCTTCTGCAGTGCAGACTGGAGGGACCACCAGACAATCTCCATCTGCCTACTTGTGCCCTGGGTTTTCCATTGGAAGGTCAGGAGCAGATCTGGCTACCTGAGCGGAAGCCCTCATTCTTCTCCAGCCTGAAGGTCATGGAACCCGGACACTTCATTTCCAGGCCCTTGCCCACTTTGCCAGGGCTTGAAATAGTGGCCAGGTGCTGAATCCAGAGGGAGACAGAGGCAGCATGTGGTGCTTGGTGTGGTGTCTTACCTAGCCACCTCCAATCACTTTGAGAATAGACAGCTCTGTTCTCTCCTGAATGGCCTCCAGACCCTCAGCAACGTTAGGGTGCACTGTGGGCACCCCACACCCAACACTCCATGCTGAATGCTGTGTCTTTCTGCTCAGACCTGCCTGGTGCCATCTCTGAGCTCAAGGGGTCCCTGGGGCTTTGGTTCCCTGGCAGTACCTCTCCCCTTGGTGGGAATCAAGCATCTGGGTGTTTGGAGAATCTTGGCCCAAATACCAAACCGACCTTTGACACAGGTCAAGGCTGGGAACTCAAATGCCTAGAAGTCTGAGCAGGTCTCCTGAATGCAGGTGGGGCTGTGAGCAACCGAAAGTGTGGGGGAGAGGTGTGCAGCCCAGCACCCCTGCCACACTGAGGGACGCCAAGCCTTCTCATTTTCCAATAGAAGCCAGAAAATCTGAGTTTTAATGTGAGGATTTAAATATCAGCTCAACAAATTTAAGAACGTATACAAACCAAATATAACAAAACTGAGCCAGACTGACCCAGGAGCTGGCAGTGTGAGACCCTTGGTGTGAAGGCACAGCCTGTAGGGATGTCAGGTCAGCTCTCATCAGCATCTGTGTCCAGAACTGAGAGCCGAGCCCTGGGAATCTAAAACTAATCCAGGAAAGCCTCTGTCTGGGGGTTCAGTCTGGTCGGGCTCCTGCTGAGAGCCTAACTGCCACAACCATCCCCTGAGAGAGGAGGCCTGCTGGTTTGGACAGTGCGAGGTGGCACCAACCTCCCTGATGTTGTCTGGTGGAAACCAAGGTAAGACAGGCCTTCTGGCCTGGGGTGGGGCAGCCAGAGCAGTGGGGCACAGCATCTTGGGCTCCTCAGGGACATGTGAGAAAGGAGAGGGCACGGCAGGTGTTGGTCTTGTTTAGGACAGAGAAGGGGTAATAAACCTTAAATCCAGGCCCTCAGTCACCACTGTGGTTTTGGATGACCCAGTGACAAGTCCCTAGCACTTTTTCAACTTGCAGACTGAAGGCGGATCAGACAGCACTGTGGCAACCTGTATGACAGGACGAGGGCATCCCTGCTGCTGGGGACAAGGTAACGCTACATCAGGGCTGTCTCCCTTGGGGACACTCAAAAATGTGCAAGGCAGCAGAACTGTCACCGCACCCCCTCTCAGAAAGACGGGCACAGCCTGAAGCTCAGGGACCTCAAACAGGAAGAGAGGAAAAGAGAAGGATGTGGGACATGAGGAGGAGCAAGATCAAAATATAAAGTCAGTGGGAGTGTCCTGGGTAGGAGCCAGCTCCCCTCCAAAATCCCCAGGCCCCCATGACCCACTCACACCCAAAGGCCTTCCAGCACCTAAGAACAAACCCTAACTGGAGGACTTCCTCTGTGCCAGGAGCACTTTCCGTGTCTAATCCTTCGAGGCAGGCCCTGGCATCACCTCGTTTTACAAAGGGAACACGGCCCAGATAGGGTAGGCAGCCAGGCCACAGCCGCTAACCGCAGGGCTGGGATTTGAACCCTGGCTGTCGGCTCTGGAGCTCAGCCCTGGACCCGTATAGTCCCTCTGGGATTACCTCCCCTGTGGGTTTGGCATTATCTGCATATCATCTGTGCCACTTACGTCATGCTTTCCTATCAATATTTCACTTAAGTCACTCTGCCTTAAATTCAAACATCTTGTCACCTGCAAGCAATGACAGTAAAAGTAAACCCAATGAACACTGTGTATGCTATTAAATCTTCCTCGCTACTGCTGTGTAGCAGGTTAACAGAGCATCAGAGAAGCCTTCTGGGGCTTCTGTCCTCCCTGGCACAGAAAAACGGGAGAGAATGGGAAAAAGGGTGCCTCATGACTATGAGGTTAAAGCTGCGCAGTGGGTCACGGCCACATGTGGACAGCGCTCTGGCGGCCACACACGCCGCCAGCCGCGGGCAGACTTACACTGGTTTTCAAAGAGCAGGACCTGCATGCCGCACAGGGAGAAGGACTGTCGGAAGCTGTATGTCACTGAGTTCTTCTTCTTCTGGAAGATCTTGGTGACCTGGGGGCAGCCAGAGACAGAGTCTGAGCCACATGTCTGCACTGCCCTGGAGCAGCTGGGGAGCTCAGGCCTGTAAATGGACCGGATGGTGACCTTGCTCTCCTGTGTGAGAAGGACTCTGTACTTCAGAGGTCAGGGGGCCCCTGCAGCAGGGCCGATCTGACGTGGGGGCATGCACACCTATTCACACTCTGACATGGACACTGTTTTCTGTTTTTGTGAGACACGGGTGCCATCCTAGCTGGCTACAAAGCCTCTCAACCCAGAAGAGAGATGGCAGGCACATTATCTTGTGTGGCACTGAAGGCACCATGCCAGGGTCTTAGGTCCAGGACCCATGTGATCACTGTCGCTCTCTGAGAGATTAATTTTACAGAGGAAACTGAGATTTGGAGGTTTGAAGTGACATGCTCCAGGTCAGGGATGCTTATTAAGGGACTTCAACCCACACATCTGGGTCCCGACATCAGGAATCGGAGAAATGCAGCTAGTCCTCAACCAGGAGGGGACTGGGGACAAGGGCCGCTAGCAAGGAAGTCCATGGCATGTCGAGGGACAGAGATCCAAGAACAGGCTTCCCCTGCTCTTGGCAGGAGCATCTCCATCCCCGCTAGCTGCATCCGTGCTGCCTTTTTTTGGGCAACAGCTCCTCAGTCTCTCTTTGGGGAACCCTCTCTCTGCCACCCTCAGTCCATCAGTCCTGGGACTGCCTCAGGCTTAGCCACTGAACTAGCACCAACCTGTGTGGTCCCGTGATTAGCTCAGGCTTGGGCACAGAAAGCAACAAGACCTCGGCTTGGATACTTTGGAAGGGAATCGCTCTGGTGGCCGAGGGGACGTTAAGCCGGGGCTGCCGAGGCTAACTTTCCCTTTTGGATGGAGCCTGCCTGAGAAGGAAGCCCACACAGGAGGAGGAGCCTATGCAGCTGAGAGGTGGAGGTCATACAAAGGGGTCCTGCTGAAATGGCTGAGCCTCCAAATCCCCCTCTGGACTTGTACAAGAGCCAATGAAGCCCCGTTCTCATCAGCAGCAATGTGAGTTGGATTCTGCCCGGTAACCCAATGCCCTGGGCTAACTCTACCCCCTCACCTCCACCCCATACCCGTGTGTGCACATAGTCAGCTCTCAGCTACAACACTCCACAGGGAACCACATACCACCAGGAGGTCATTGAACAGGAAGATCTCTCGCTGGTGCAGTCCAAGTTTCTGGGGCTTATTTGGGTCTGGAACCTCGAAGAGCCGGCAGTAGCAGACCAGCCGCCGGTGAGGCAGAGAAAGCACCTGTGCGGATAGGAGAAGCTGCCCTTAGCTGCCTGCCCCTCCTCTGGGGCCTGGGCTGCACAGGGGTCCAGCCTATGTGCTAGGAACCCAGACCTTGGGCCTCGTGTTCAGAAATGTCTTATCCTGCAAACTGTGCAGACTGGAGTGTGCTTCTTCGGCTTGAAGCCACTCTGTCCTCAGAAGCTCTCTTGCAGGACCATGGTAAGTGACCCCTTCTGATAAGACCTCCATTCGATTCTTTCAGGCAGGCCCCAGACTTCTTAAAGCATCATGCTCACATGTGGGCCTCCAGCCAGAGAGGGATGCATGCTTTCTGAGTTTCCACAAAGTACCCATTAGTCTCTGCAAACAGTTTCCCAGATACAGTCTACTTGGGATGAAGAAACTGAGGCACAGAGGTTGAGCATCTTGCCTCAGCCACATGGCCAGGACGCTGCAGAGCACCAGAGTTTTCCCACTCTCCCAGGCCCCTCCTAAGGGATTTCAATGTTTCTGAAGCCTGAAAGTCCCTGTCTGAACTCTTGAACCAGCAGTCACCTCCCTTCTGCACACCTGCCTCTGAACAGGTCTGCCACGGGTTCCAAGAGCCCCCACCTTGCTGTAGCCCAAGCTGCTCTCAAGGCCTGATGTGACAAACCATCCCAGAGGCTCAGTCATATCTCTGGAAACATCTAGGCTCATACAGCAGACAGACAAATTAGTAAGGAGACAGCATACACCTGGATAGGACCCCCAGCAAGTAAGCACGGTCGCAGCCAGGGAGCGTTAACTCTGCAAGGGGTGCCCTGGTGGCGAGGTACCTGAGCTCAGTGCATCAGGAAGGCAAGGGGAGGAAAGTGTGTGGCCTAGCCTGGTACGCTTGGGGAGCAATACTGTTTGGAGCAAAAGTACAAAGGAAAGAGGATGGTGGAATGTGGGGCTCGAGAGGTGGGTGAGGGCATGTCACAGACGCATCCAATGGGCTTGGTCTCTCTCTAGGGAAAACTGGGAAGGGGAGGGTGGTCATAGGGGTTTGTGGGGCTGACTCCGTTGACAGTGAGGGGTAGACAGACACAGAAGGGACATGTAGGAGAACTACCAGGTTAGCCATGTACGCATGTGCTCCAGGGGCGTGCAGATAAATTTCCTCAAGGCTGTGGCAGTGGAAAGGGTCCTGTCGTATGAACAAGTTGTTGGGGGCAGAGCGTGGACTTGGGGAGAAGGCCCTCCAAAGCACACCAAGATCATCTGTTTCAGGTATAGGGTCTTGGGGTCTGGGGACAAGCTCAATCAGGCCCAGACGAGAGGAAAGGAAGACTATCTGCTATCAGCCTGACAACACAGCTCTCCCGTGTGGCCATGCTCTCAGGGCCTGCAGAGATTCGAGGCTAGGATAATTATGAAAGTCAAATTTCTTATTGTTCCATAAATTAACTCAAGCCAGGAGATGTGGTCATGCTGGGCACCCCCAGGGGGGACGCCAGCCAGAATGTGAAAGCAGAGGGATACTCACACAACCAAGCCCAGGATGCAGGGATCCAATCTACAGGGGAAACAGTAAAAAAAAAAAAAAAAAAAAGACATCACTGCCCCAGAAGATGCCCCTGGGCCCTGAGGGAACTAACGGCAACACCCAAAGAAGCAGTGCCCCTCCTGCATGCAGCACCTGCACTTAGCTCTATGCAGCCACCCAGGGGTAGGCGGGGAGGCTTTCATGCTGGCGGGCTCTGAAGGCATCCCAGGCCACCAAGGAACACTGGATAACTCTGCCTGTGGGTTTATTAAGAGCCTCAGGTTCTCTTCAACTTGAATCCAGAGCAAATGTTTGTTATTCCCAAATGTTAGAAACCACTTAAAGAAACCCAAACCCTGAAAGAATTTACCAGCCCAGCCTGGAAGGGGCATCAGGGCCACTGGCAGAAGCTGAGGCCAGCAGGGGGTCTGGGGTCACACTGAGAGGGAGGGAAGTGGGTGGCAAGCACCCCCAAGGCTCCCCTGGGACACAGGACCCACGTACCGGCTTCTTCCCCACAATGAGCTTCTCCACCTTCTGCACCTGCGACACGTGGTCCTCACTGGTCTTCAGCTCTCGCTTGCGGATCCGCTCATAGATCCCGATCAGTGTCTCCCGAGGAATGTCCTCACCGTCATCCACACCTGGGAGGAGACAGCGGCCAGGCATCAGGTTGGCTGGAGCCTGCATGGCCCATTTAGCCCTGGGCCCCAATCTCACCCTGATGTACCAGATTCTAAATTGAATCAGAATAGCCATCTCTTTCACCAGTCCCTGCAGAACCACAGCCCTCTGACCAACAGCTGTTGAGTGTCCTCAGAATCCCTGCACCAGGGATAAGGCCAGCACAGTCACCTGGACTGGCTGGGGGGCTGCTCAGAGGGCTTTATAAATATTACCTTGCTGATCCTGACTGCAGCCCCGTGGGGTGGGCATAATTGTCCCCATTCCCCAATGGGAAAGCCGTGGCTCAGGGAAGTGGTTGGGGTTGGAGCTGAGGGAAGCTGTATGGATAGGGTTTGTGAGTTCAGGCTTCAGCAGGCCTGGGCCCAGGTCCTCACTTTGTCCCTTGGTAGCCTTTTGACTCAGTCTTTCTGAGCTGGGTGTCTGAAACAGGCCACTAAGAGCATGAGGGACTCCACAGGGCTTTGTGAGGACACGTGAGCAGCTTGTGTCATGCTCCACAGAGTGAGAGCGCAGTGTGTCTGGCAGTTTTGCCAGCTGTTGTCCCACACCCCATGGGCAGAAGCCGGGGCTAGGACTCGAACCCAGGTTGCTCTGACAAGTGCATACCCTTCCTGCCACTCCAGCCTGAAAACTGCTGTGAGAAAAGGACGGTGGTCCTACTCACAAGAGAAACACAAACACTCTTCCACCTTCAGACCACAGGCTGGCCCAAGTCCAGATGTTTGACAGCATGGCCTGTCAGTGAGACCACAGGGCAGGAGCTGCTCAGGCTGCTGGGGGGATGGTGAACTGGACCAACCCCCTGCTGGGCAACTTATCCCACGAGATATGATGCACAGACAAGATTGTTCACGGCAGCAGTGCTTCCAAAGAGAAAATTGGAAACAACCCATTTACTCATCAGCAGGGGACTAGTCAGCCAACCGCTGCACACTGGTACACGAAGTACTATGCACCTCCAGGAACAATGAAGAAGTCCAGAGAGCCAACATGGATACATTCTATTGGATTTTTTAAAAAAGATTTTTATTTTTTTCAATTACAGTTGATATACAATATTATATTAGTTTCAGGTGTACTGCATAGTGATTAGACATTTTATATACCTTATGAGGTGATTCCCTCAATTAGTCTAGTGCCCGCCTGGCACCATACTTATTACAATATTACTGACTATATTCCCCTGTGACTATTTTTATAACTGGCAATTTGTACTTCTTAATTTTTTTATTTTTTTATTTTTTTTACTCACCCCACCCAGGTATGATTTTTTTTTTTTTTTTTTAGCTGAGCCACCCTGCTACCTGTTGGCAGCTCAGCGGCTGCTCAGCTCGGGCTGGACTCGAAAAGCTGTTGCTCAGAGCTCAAACTCTTGAGCGCGCTCTTAACCAACTGAGCCACTCGGCCGGCCTGTACTTCTTAATCCCTTCACCTTTTTCACCAACCCAAATCCCCCTCCCATCTGGCAACCATAAGTTTGTTCTCTGTATCTATGAGTTTGTTTCTGTTTTATTTTGTTTTTTAGATTCTACCTATAAGTGACAGCATATGGTATTTGTTTTTCTCAGTCTGATTTACTTCACTCAGCATAATACCCTCTAGGTCCATCCATGTTGTAGCAAATGGTAAGATTTCTTTCTTTTTTTATGACTAATACTCCATTGTGTCTATGTACCACATCTTCTTTATCCAATCGTCTACTGATATACACTTAGGTTGCTTCCATATCTTGGCCATTGCAAATAGTACTGCAATGAACATAGGGGTGTGTATATCTTTTTGTTTTTTCCATCTCTTATTTTCAGTCTATGTATGTCTTTTGATCTGAAGTGAGTCCCTTATAGGCAGTATATGTAAGGGTCTTGTTTTCTTATCAATTCAGTCCTCCTATGTCTTTTGATTGGAGCATTTAATCCATTTACATTGAAAGTAATTATTGACAGGTAAGTAGTTATTGCCATTTTATTATTCATATTTTTTATCTCTCTTTTTTTTTTTTCCTTCTTCTTAAAGAAATCCCTTTTATATTTCTTGTAATACTAGTTTGGTGGCGACAAGCTCCTTTACATTTTTCTTGTCTGGGAGCTCTTGATTTAAAAAAAAAAAAAAGAAAAGGGCAAAACAGAAGAGGGTAAAACGAATCATGCACACTTGCACTTGCTGGAGCAAAGGAATTTTGGGCGGGACATCAGGAACTAAAAACTGATGGCCTCTAGGGAGAGACAGAATGGTTCGGCAGATGGCAGGGGAAGGGGGCTCTGCCACTGTTTATACCTTTTGGGGTTTTTGAAACAGGCTTTATTTTTAGAGCACTTTTAAGTTCACAGAAAAATTGAGGGGATGGTACAGAGATTTCCCATATGCCCTCTGCTTCTCCACTAGCCTCTTCCACAATCAACCACTATTACCAGACTGGTGCATTTGTTACAACCTACACCGACACATCAGAATCACTGAGTCCATAATTTGCCTAGGGCTCACTCTTAGTGTCGTATTTTCTATGACAAGTGTATAATGATACGCATCCATCACTGTAGTATCATAAAGAGTTTTTTCACTGCCCCCAGACTCCTCTGTGCTCCACCTACTCACCCCTCCCTCCCCCCGAGCCCTGGCAACCACTGTCTTCATAGTTTTGCCTTTTCCAGAATGTCATATAGCTGGAATCCTACAGTATGTAGTCTTTTCATACCGGCTTCTTTCACTTAGTAATATGCATTTAAGGTTCTTCCATGTCATTTCCTGGCGCGATAGCTCATTTCTTTTTAGTGCTGAACAATACCCCACTCTCTGGACGGGCCAGTTTATTTATCCATCACCTACTGAAGGACATCCTGGTTGCGTCCAAGTTTTGGTAATGACAAATAAAGCTGCTGTAAACATGTGTGAAGGTTTTTGTGTGGATGTAAGTTTTCAGCTCATTTGGGTCAATACCAAGCAGTGTGATTGCTGGGTCATATTACTTTCTGGCTTTTGAACTATTAATATGAAAAAATAATACCCATTCAAAAAATAAATTGAAAACTTTTAAAACAAATAGCAATAAAAGGAAAATGCTGCTTGTTCATCTGGCTTCTGTGCTGGTGAGCTGTTCCTCCTCCATCTATCCTGCTGCTGGACCCACTGGGGAGGCTGGAGGGAGCGATTCCAGAGAAAATGTGTGTCCAGTGTGTGTGTGCGTGGGGTGGGGGTTGTCTAAAAAGAACAAGCAAGACATGTGCTCAGCACAGAGTGCCAGCCTGGCTTTGAGAGACCAGAGTCCTGCCTCCTCTGACACTCATTTGCCGTGTGACTGTAAGCAAGTCCCTTCCTTCTCTGAGCCTTGGTTACCCCTTCTGAAGCACAAGAAAGATGGTGCAGAACACCCCCGTCTCTGGCTTGAAAAGAGGGGGTTTGGTGGGAATAGCCCAGGCTAGGAAAGCAGAACCAGTAGCTTGCTCTCCTGGTTTTGGGGTATTCAACCTCTGCTCTGGGAAGTGGGCTGATATTGCCACCCTGTCCCCAGACTGCTGGGATGGCTGGGTGCAAAGATGGGTGCAAACCACAGAGCCACTGACATGAGGGCGGCCAGCTGGCAAATATGTGATCAGCAGCCCTGTCCTTCCCTGAGCTTTCTGTTCTCTGGGCTAATCGTTTCTGGCTCCCTTGTGCCAGCAGCCATCCTGTCATGGTGGTACCAACCCTGGGTGGGTGGGGGTAAGCATGAGGACAGTTCACATCCGGGCAGGACCTGGAGAACCCTCACAGGAAAACTGTCCTGCCCCAAGGGAGGGGTAACAGAGCTGCAGTTTTACAGAAATAAAAAAGTAGAAAATTTAAATGGCTCAACAAGCTCACAGTTGGACTTGATTTAGACCAGCTTTTATCCTTTTTATAAAAATATATAATTTCTAATGGGACCTTGGCCCGCTGCAGCTGGAATTTTTCAAAAAGAGGGACACAGTTCCTACTCCTTTTCCTTCTAGGTACTCCAAGTCCACGAGAGCTAACATGGAGCCACCTGGAAGATGGCTGCTCCCTTTTCAATTCCTTCCCACCTGACGCCAGGAGAAGGCCTCCCTTTTCGCTGCCTACCTCATCAGCACCTGTCTAACATGGGCCCACCTGCCAAGGAAGAGGGTGGCCTCGGAGCCCAGCCAGAGGGAGCTCTGGCTGAAGTCAACAGTGGTGCTTTCTTTTCACTGTATTAATTTTTATAGTGACTTCTTATGTGTAGCAAATACTACTGGTTTCCCATTTACAGTGATGATATAAGGTTCCTCTTTCAAATATATTTAATAAACAAAATATAGATAAATAATTAAATATTAAATATATATAAATAAACAAAAACAAGGCAAATCAGTTTCAAGGGGAGCATGGAGCAGAGGAGGGGTGGTGAGGCACAGCAGTGATGGAGACAGGGTGTGCAGGTCCCCATATGGTTTCCACCTGCTGGAGGCCTCAGGGCTCCCAGCACCCAAGTTCCACTCTGTGCTCCCGGATGTCTCCCAATCAGGCCCTGGTCAACCTGTGTGTGGCCTGGCTTCCAGCACTGTGATGAGCAGCTTCCTCAGGCCTCTGCCTCTGCTCCCTCATGAGTAAGTCCCTCCACCTCTACCTGTCAAACTCCTGCGCATCTTTTCCTAACAAGCTTGAAGCACCACTTCCTCAGGATTGAGGCCCTGCATCCCGAGACTCCGCATGCATGGCCCGGGCGGTGCCTCCATGTGCACCCCTAAGACAGCATTTGCTCTTTACTGTAGTTTGTGCTGCGTGAGCACACTGTTGGGAGGTCTTCTGCACGAGATTCGGTGAGTGCACGGCAGCCTGGCTATCTTGCCGTACCCTATGCCGGCCCAGCATGAGAGAGTGTCGCCACCATTTGTCAGCCCACACCCGCTGGGGCCCGTTTCAGAGGATGTCTGGGAGGCTGTGCTTCCGAGCCTGGGCCCCGACAGCTCACCTCGGAGGTTCTTGACGAAGTCCTCCAGCTTCATTTTGCGCTCAGGCTTGACATTGGGGCTGTACATGTCCGTGTTGAGCAGGATGACAGCGAAGGCCAGGATGAAGATGGTGTCCGGGTTCCGGAACTGCCGCACCACCCCGGGGTTGCAGATGCAGTACCGCTGGCTAGGGGAAGGGGACAGGGAGGGTCAGGCATGCTGGGCAGAGCAGGCAGGGGTAGTCTGCCCCTGCACCAGCTCAGAGGGAGATGCACTGTGCCTCGTTTCAGCTGTGGCTGCTGGGGCACCTTTGCTGTGGCACCTTGAACAAATAGCCTCACTAACATACTCTGCCTCACTGGTCATCTGCTTCCTGTCCTCACCTCCTGACCCCCTGCCCTGACCTCCAAGAGGCCCCTGCACTGGTAATCTTATGGAGGGGTGACAGACACGGTGGGGCATCGTGACGGAGGTGGCTGCCATCGGTGCTCAGGCAATGTGGGCTTCAATTCCGTCTTCCCCGTTAGTGCTACCCCCTCCAAGAAGCCCTTCAGTAAAGAAGTGGCTGAACATCCCCCTTCTGGGCCCTGGGGCTCTCCTCCCCATATCCTCATTGGCCCCACCACTGGCGCTAAGCCCAGAGGGCTAGGTCAGCAGCTGACTCGTGTCTGCCACATGCAGCACGAGGCACAGAGGCCAGTGTGCACACAGTCCTGGGATGAAGACTGCAATGAGAGCTGATGTTGGGGCAGGTGCTACATTAACTGTGTCCACACGTCCTAAGTGGCTTAAGCCTCCACCCTGTCTAGGGTAGGATCCCTTTTTATCCCTACTCTGCAGGCAAAGATGTGAAGCACAGAGAGGTTAAGCAACAAGCATGAGGTCCCACAGCTGGTAAGTGGCAGAGTGTCTGTTAGAACCAGGCCATCTGGCTCTGCAGCCTGTGCTCTGTCACTGAGAGCGAGCAGCTGCCCCTGTGAAAGGGCAGATGAATAGTAACACAGATGGACTCATGAATGGATGAGGCCATAAGGACTTGGAAAAAGAGAGAGACTTCAAAACCCTGGCTCTAGCACAAACCAGCACAGCGCCTGGCACCCAGGAGGGGCTGCTGCCTCATCCCCAGGCAAGTTCAGGGCCACCTGACCCCGAGTAGGTAAGGGGTTGAGGGCATTCGGCCCTTGAGCCAGGAACCTTCTGTCCATGACGTCCCCGCCCCCACCCTGCCCTGGCCCAGACCTGAAGGCCTCAATGAGCCGCTCCACCTTCTGAGCTTCCCCCTGGACCCGGATGTGCGCTTGGAACTTCCTCAGAGCTTCATCCAGCTCCATGGCAGAGAAGTCCATCTCATCGACCACGCAGCTGAAACGAGACAAAGGCCATGTCAGCGTCCTCCACCCGCATTGCCTCTGCGGGCCTTCTCATTAGGCGCTTGCAGAGGGTAGGGCATAGAAGGGGTTGGTCCAGGAGGGCCAGTGAGCCGCCCAAGTGCCATGGGGACAGGCTGTTGTCTGTTGGGGATGACCTTACGCTTGGCTTCCTCCAGGCAGCAAACAATTCAGATTATGGCCAAAGATCCCTGTGCTTCTGAGGGGAGTCCATGACCCCCTCAAACTGTAGGAAGATGTTGGTGCTTATGCCAATGTGTGCAATTTTCTACAGACACACAGGTAGCCAGAACATACGGCTGTTCTTGGTAAGGACCCGTGGTGCAGAAACAAACGTTGCTGAGCGTGTCCGTTATACCAGGCACGTAGCTGTTCTTCTTGTGTTCTGCGAGGGAGGGAGCTGAGGAGCACACTCAGGGGGGCACTAACTTGTCAAGTCTCAGTTTCACACTGTGCCTGTCCTCTCACACCAAGAGTATGGGAGAGGTGGCTGGGTCTGGCCACTTCGGAGAGGCACTTCAGAGGGGTCTTTCCATCCTCGTCAGCCAATCAGAGGAATGGAGGATGGAGTTTGGGAGGTCTCTGGTAACAGGCTTTGGTTGGTTCCACTCATCACAGCCCTGCCCCTTAGTACAACCTGCTGTGTCGTCTGATCAGGACCCTTGAACAGAGAAGGTAGGGTCTGCACCACGGACCCATGCAGCAGGCTCTAGTGTCTAGTTTATGTTTGTAACAAAGCTATGGCCGCCCCTGTTGGTGCTACAGAGGCCTTCGTCATGGGGGACCTAATCCCACTCCAGGGCCTACCCTCCACTGGGGGCAATGTACTTGGGGTAAGCTATGGTGCTCCCAACTTTCTCTGAGTTTTCAGGGCCTCTTGGGGATACAGCCTTGTGGGGAAAGATAGGGGGCAGGGGCCACCTGGGATGATCTGCGGATCGACTAGGTTGCTGGTGCGGAGGGTAGGGGCGGGGGAAGTCTCATACTTCCTGAGGCCGCTATTTTCTGATCCTAGGAGAACAATGAACGGATTTCCTATGGACCAGAAGCCAGTGTGGAGGTGGCTGCAGAGGGCAGTGTAGAAATGGCTGGGGGTGGGGGTGGGAGGCTGGGCTGAGATTGTCTTGGGCCCAATTCACTAAGGAGATAAACTTTCCCCTGAACCATTTCCTCACACCGGTTTCAGAGGGGGAGAGGGGCATTAACCACACCAACAACGCAGGAGGATTTTCCCAGTGAGGCCAAAACAGAAACGCTGATCAGGAAGAAAGCAGCCCAGATGGGCAAGTCTGGCTAAGGAGGGACACAGATGCTATTCTGCTGGGTGCCAGCACGTGTACATGTGTGTCTGTGTGTGTGTTATGTGTATGACATAATGAGATGTACATGCATATGTGAGTCCGTGCGGGGCGGGGGGGAGCACCCAGGTCAGTTGCTCCCTGTGACCTGTGGTACAAAGAAGTCACAGAGCCCACCCACCTCCCCCCAGGGAAGCACTGGCGGCAGCAGGTGAACACGTGGCCAAGGCCTTCCTTACTGCAGATGGCCTGACCCCAGGGGCCCCTTGCTTGTCCTTTTCCCTGACGCGCCTGGCTGGACAGATGAATGGCTCTGTTCTTGTTCTGATGGCTAACTCTTTACCTTGCTTTGATTTCTGCTCCTGAACTATTGCCCAGGGTCAGCCCCGTCAGCTTGTAGCTGCCTGGGTCAGGAAAGTCCTCAGTAACAGGCCTGGGGGTATTACCCCAGGTTCCAGCAAAGGGTAGGCAGGACACCTGTACCAAGCCATCCCTATTCCACGGGCTTTGGCTCCCCATCTGTGAAAGGGGTCATCAGTCTCTGACACCCACCCGCATGGGTACAATGAGGATACAGGGCCTGAACACAGTCACTGCTCTGTAAACATAAGGGTCCAAACACAGACGCCTTTCTACTCAGGACAGTCTTAAGGAGGAACAAAGAGATTTAGGGTGCATGTATGGCAGGACTTCTCAAAACGGCCAGCAGACCCCAGGGAGCTGGGAACCCATTTTTCTGTAGGGCTCCAAGTAGCTGAGTGTTATGGTCCCCAGTTCTCTGGGCTGGGGATGTGGGGTCAGAAGGTGGGGGTTGGACTCTCACGCCCCCACCCCGATCTCCCAATCAGGAAAGGCGAGAGAGAGGCAGTGCAGAGCTGTGGGTATGGGGCTGGCCACCTTGGAGGTGCTGGGGTCTGGGCCAGCTACCCCTATTCACTCCCAGGGCACATATCAAGGCCCTGACCTCCAAATCTCCCCCCCCCTCCCCGTTCTGGGTGGCTTGGCCTGACTGGAGAGGGATGGGGGTGCCAAGGGTGCATACGGGGAGCACCTAAGGGTGGATGCCACATGCATACATGGCAAGTTACGATGCATAAAATGGTGTGGGGGTACCCAAGAGCCAGAAAGAGGTAAGGGGAAGATCTGCTGTACGTCTCACAAGCAGGGTGAGCCAGACAGGTCATGGAGTCCATCACGGGTATGTGACCATGCCACCCCGGCCCCCGCCCAGAACTCACTCCAGCACATCGCGGTTGAACTGCTTCTGCCGGTTGCCCAGAAACTCGCCGATCATCTGCCGGCTGAGGCCCTTGCGCTGCAGCAGGAAGTGGGCCACCCCGACTGGCGTGTCGGGCACGAAGCCTCGCTCAATGAGGTACTGGATGCCCTTCTCAGGCTTCCTGGGGGTGGGACAAGAAACAGGCTCAGCCCTGGCAGCCTTGGCCCCTCCAGGCTTACTTTCCACCTCCACAGGCACTGAAGGCGCCCCTGCTGGCCCTGACAGACCCCAGGCTCCGGGCACCTTGCCCTGTCCCACCCCAAGCCTTCAATGCAGGGAACCCAGAACTCCCCAGACCCTGCACCAAGAACACCAAGACTGGGCCAGCCACAGGAGAGTGCCCGTGGGAGCTGGAGCAGGGACTCTTCCCTGCTGCCCTGCACGACCCCACATGCCAGCCCCACACAGAACCAGCCCCTGCCGCCCAGCTCTCTGCTGCCCTCCAAGTGGAAGCTGCCACCCCGTGCTGCACTTCAGGCAGACTGGAACCCCCAGCCCAGACATGCTGGCCTGCCCTCTGCCCGCCTGCCCACCAAGCAATGGAGAATGAATTGTCTCTGGTACCTGCTGAGCACTTATTCTGGCATCACTGTCTAAGCACCCCCCACACTAACTGGCTTGTTCTTACATACCTGGGATTGGCACTCTAGTCACCTGTGCTGGCTAGGAGCCCAATAGCTTTGTGACCTTGCTTTGTGGTGTGGACTTAACACTGAGTTAACAGTCAGTGCCTGGAATGGTGCACATAGGCATCATGAAAAGTTCTTAGGATCAGCCCCAATTCACAGGACAGGAAATGGGGGCACAGCATGTGCCCCACCTGGGCATCAAGGAAGGCAGGGACAGCCTGAGCATATCCAACTGCACTAGAACCGTGGGCAAGGAGGCCCCTTCCTCCCTTGGAGCCTCTGTCCTCCTGCCAGCTGTGTGATATGACATGAGCTTGGCTGACCTCACAGGGAGGTGCTGTGGTCCAAGGAGACAGGGTGGTGTGAAGGGGCCACACGTGTGAACCCTGGAGGGCAGCTGTCCTCTGACAACCCCAGATCCTGAGTTGCTGTGGAGCCCTTGGGGGTGACCTGGCACCCATGCTGGTGTGGGGTCAGCCGAATCACCCACCGACTGGGGGCCAGCCTGTCCCCTGCCCCAGCAAGCAGAGGTCAGCGTTCTGCAGTTCCCTGGGGGTGTGGAGGTGAGGGCTAGTGTTTACCTGCCCACCAACCCAGTAGTTCCCGGCTAACAGTGTCCTGCAGATACTGGATTTCCAAGTGCAAGCAAAGCGAACCTCCTGCAGCAAGGTGACTTTGTTATTTTTATCCGGGATGACCACACACACCTGACCTTGCCCTCAAGAGCTCGGCAGGGAGTAGCTGCAGGACAGCTGGTTCCTGGCAGTGACGTGGTGACGAAGTGGCCCTCCGCTCCACCTTCTGAGCTTCCCCCTGGACCCGGATGTGCGCTTGGAACTTCCTCAGAGCTTCATCCAGCTCCATGGCAGAGAAGTCCATCTCATNCGCATACTCCATTCTTCCCCATGATTCTGGGGTCTCTAACCAAGAACTGTCCCACACTCCAGGCACTCCAGCCACTTAACCACTGATGCTATGGCCAGGGTAGGTTACACTTCTTCACTGACCCTCTCCATGCTGGCCCCACAGGACCCCAGCCCATACCTGCCTCCCCTCAACTTCTAGGTGAGGGGTCACCCCTGGGCCCGTATTCTGCTGTGGCTGAGCCTCCCCCACTCAGGTGCCCTGCGTCACCCACCCACCCTTGGCCCCTTGAGGCCCTGATATGGTGCCCAGGTCCAGGCACAGCCAACTCCTGCTTCTTCCTATTTCCCCAGGGGGTGGCTGCTCTCTCTTCTCTGCCCCCACCACTCCCTCCAGTGTTTCATGCAACGTCATGCAGCATCATGGACTCCAGGAGATGGGCTGTTCCATCCTCGAGAAGCTCCAAGCACAATGGGAACACACCGCAGGAAGGACAGGCTATGCAAGGGGCCCTGGAATGTAGATTCTTCCTGGATCAAGTACCACGTGTCTCCCTGTGCTAGACACCACTTGGGACAATAGCAGGGCCAGCTGTAAATGCCCAGCACAGTAGCAGGCTACAGTCCAGTCTGAAGGGCAAGGGGACTGAGTGACGTCCGGAGGACATGGGGAAGGGCTTCTGCTGGTGAAGCAGAAGCCTTCTCTGAGCAGGTGACACTCAGTGACCAAAATGATTAAGCAGCTTTCTGGGTGGAAGCTACAGTGACTGCAAAGGCCCTGGGGTGGGAAGTGATTCTGCAGGATGGAGGACCAGCAGGCTGCTCCAGGGTGGCTGAGAGGCGGGGCCCCTGGGGAGGGGAGGAGGGCAGCAGACCCCACAGCGCTGTGCAGGCCATGGGAGAATCTGGCTTTCCTGAGTGGAGTAAGAGGCCCCGGCGTGCTCTGAGCAGGGCATTGACAGGACCTGAAGTCCATGTTTGAGGAGCTTCCTCTGGCTGCTCTTTGGGCAGCAAGGCCAGGCCTGAGCCGGCAGCCCCGCCAGAAGACTCCCACAGATATCCAGGCTGTGGGGCATGAGGTGGGGAGGGGCAGTCAGTTTAGGAACTAATTTGAGGGTAGAGATGGTAATATTTGTTGGTGGGTCCATGTGTGAACCCAATGGCTCAGCTTTTAGCCTGAATCAAATGTGGGAGGGACTGATTCCACCTGGTAGGTTTCACAGCATGATGCAGGAGAGGATTCTGAACTGACTGGGCCTTGACCAGTGACCACGAACTTGCCGAGCACTGGAGAGGAAAGGCATGGTGGCAGAAGGTACCGGTGAGGAGCTGGGTGTGCGGGGGAGGCCAGGCCAGGCAGGGGGCTCCAGAGTCGGGATGGATATGCTGGCAAAGGAGCCTCTAAATGGCTTTACACAGGGGAGTGACCAGCCCTGGAGTGACCTCTCTGATAGCACACAGCCAGTACACAGCACAACTGCTGTGAGTCCCTTGCCCGTTGGGACCTTGCTAGCCCTGGGCCACTCTTGGCAGTGTAGTAAGGCCCTCCCACCTCCAGTGTGCTCCTGGGGGCCCTGCCAAGCAATGGTCCTAGATCTATCTACCTGCTCCTTCACAGAGCTTCCACGGTGACTGAAGGACACATGTCCGTGTATCCTGCTAAGCATCACACACAGTGACCTGCTGGGTGAAGAGATGCAGTGGGGTGAGTTGCTAGTGCGGCCTATCCACTGCTCCTGCCCCCGCCTGTCTCCCCTTGTGGAAGTAAGGGGCCACCTGACGTGCTTTGGCCAATGCATTGCGAGCAGAAGAGGTGCACGGCACTTCCTGTGGGAGTGGCACCATCCCCTATGGCGCCTTCCCTTGCCACTGAGAACCCGGAAACCCATATCCACAGGAAGTCTCTGCCTGCCTCGGCCCCAAGAGACTCGACAACCAGAGACCTGACCAACCTACAAAGGACGCTACCTTGACAGAGAAATTCACTTGTGCTGTGTTAGCATGACAGAGTATGGTCTGGCAGGGAGGACTAGTCCCAAATAGAGAAACTGGGTCAAAGGGTGTCATGTTCCACCCCAGGGCACAGGCACAGGGGTGGGGCTCAGGCCCCTTCTCAACTGGGGCTTTTCTGTCTCTTCCTATGACGGTACCACAGGCCTCTGAAAACTTCTGTCTGGGACATGGGGCTCTAAGGAGTGAAGAGGGCTCACCTCACTCTGGACCCCAAGTGTCTAGCAAGGGCCTGGCCCACACAGAGCACAGCCAACAAAAGAGAAACAAAGTGTGCCCTGTGTGCAGGCTTAGGGACAGACACGACTTGATGCATGGACACCTTACCCTGTGTCAGCAGGACTCTGTTTTAAAACCTCCCAGGGTCTCCCAACCCCTGTAGGATGAGTTCTGGGCTCCTCATCCTTGACTCACTTCTTTATTCACTCTACAAACAGTTACTGAGCGCCTATTCTGGGCCAGGTACTGTGCTAGCACACCTGTGTCCAAATAAAGTCTCCAATCTTGAAAACATGCATCCTCATTGGAGCTTGATAAGGGAGGGAGCTAAACTCCCAGGATACAGAGGTGCTCACGGCACAGGGGTCAAGGGCATGGCCCTGGGAGCCAGCAGCCTGGACTCCAAGCCCCTTTCCACTTACTAGTTGGGTGACATGACCTAGTACAAGTTACTTAACTGTGCCTCAGCTTCCCCACATGCATAATGGGGACAGCAATAGTGCACACAGCAGTTATTGTGAAAATGACGTGAGTTAATGCCTCTAAGCCCCCAGAAAACATTAGTTATATAGCTATGTAAAGGGTCAGCAATAGGCAGAACTAAACTAAGTGACCTGGAGAAGGCATGGACTTTAGCTGGAAGGGGAAGGGAGGGATGATCAGGAGGGAGTACCGACCTGGGAGCCAGGAAAAGGGACCTTGCTAGAAGGCATGGCCAATGCAAAAGCCTTATCTGACAGGTAACAAATGAGTTCAAGTAACTTAGCTCCAGGTTACCAGATTTTTAATTGACTCCTTTGTTCCAAGAAGCCCCTAAAATTTCCCTCTACTCTCCTCACCCCATCACTGCTACTGAAAACCCATTCTGCCCAACTCTGTGGAGCCTGCTTGCCCCAATTTCTCTGTGGATTCCCCCAGTTACTTTTTATCTATTGTAGTTTTTCTTACTTCCATCCTCTAAGGGCTCAACAGCAACAGGTGCCGACTACGAGTTTCGCCATCTACACTTGACCCCCGCCGCTTCCCTGCAAGGTTCTGGCAGGACAGGCCTCGTGGGAGACTATGCAGCCCTGCACCCCGTCTGCCAACAGCCTGGGCCAGCTTCTCCAGTCAGCGCTGGTTCGGGCTCGGCTGTGACATGCGAGCACATGCAGGCCGCACCAGTGGTTCCCTCACAGTACCTCCCACTCCTGGGCTGCGGGCAGTCAGTGCTGATGCCAAGCGTGTGGGGCTCTCGTGACGGCTGGTACAAGGCCGTGCACTGTACTTCAGGATCACCAACCTGACGTAACTGAATACTGAGTGCTTTGCCAGCTCTTTTCCTGGCAGGAGGCTGGAGGGTCAAAGAAGCTTCTCCTGTCCTTTTTAGTGCTTGTGCAGCTGAAGAGAAGCAGAAGTGG